ATAATTATTAAAATATTATAAATTATTATGTAATTAAATTATATAAAGTTAGGTTTTAATAAGTAATTTTATAATTATATTAAATATCAAGTATTTTTTATAAAAGTCATAATTAAAAAGTTTTAAAATGAAAATTTTTATTTTATATATAAAATTAATGCAAATCTACTATGATTTTTTATAATATTTTTTAAAAATAATTTTAAAAAAATTGCTAAACATATATAACTAAGAACATTATATAGATACAAAAAAAACTTTCCACTGTAATTCTAAATGCATCCTTAATTTTTAATTAAAAATTTCAAAACTTAATCAAATCTTATTCATCAGGTATAATTTGAGTTGATTTCAAATTGTTTTTAATCGTGAATTTTACCGCTCATCCCTAAAGAAGATAATGGGATAAGACCCAAGTACGGAAGTGACATGCAATTGTTTGGTCTGACGAGGAGAGTCCCTTTGTCCTAAAAGATTCGAATTTGTCAGCCAAATAGTGAAATGCAGAGAGAAGGAGATGCACTAGCTCTAAATATCGTACAAAGCAGACAAGGATCAGAGGATGGCCCAATATTATCGAGGGCTTCTAGTTTCATATCAGAGCATGCGGCAGGGTCGTATGGGAACCTTCTCCCCCTCTTAGCGGCAGTGAGAGTAGTAAAATATATCAACATCGAATTATTTATATATTTAAAACTTTTAGTTTAAAGATTGAATTTATTAGTGGATATTTATTAATTTAAATATTTATTAATTTGGACGTTCTGTTCTTTTTTCTTTTTTTCTTTTCTTTTTTTTTTTGAAAATAGGTAATAATTTGAAAGTGGCGTTCGAGTTTAAGTTTTGAATCAAATCTAAAATAATTAAGAACACAGCACTGTTGTTGATGTAACATAGTCCTATTTCATTATTGCGCGAATAGTGTCGTATGGAAAACAGTAAAAGGGGACCATTCTGTTTCTTTTAAGTAAACTTGGCAAATGGCAGGAGGGAATCTAAGCTGCAGTGAGTCTCTATCGTTCTATGTGTATTTTGTTTGGCTATGTTTTCCTTTTTTTTTTTTATTTAATCTTGGAAATTAATTATAACTTTGAATTAATTGATGGTGATATGTCTATTAAAGTTCTCATTTTAGAGGTTTATATTTTATATTATAATACTATTTAACTTGTAACTAATTTTTTATATTTATTATTTATTATATAATATTTAAATTTTAAGGCATTGTAATAGATTGAATATTCTTTATATTTTAATAATAAAAGTTTTTGTCTTGGCTTTTCAAAAAATATACCATATATTATCAAGTTAAAAAGGTTAAGGGTGTTATTTCACAGGTTCAAAGACAAAGGAGATTCAACAGTAGACATAGATAACTCAATCTAAGCTACGATTAAGAGATTATCTAGTCTTTCACTCCATTATATCATAAAGGAGAAAACCTCTAATTTTAGAGGCAATTCGGGGATTCGATTTTACCTTGTATTGGCTAAAGCATGATAAGGTACGAAGTTGTCCCCTTTAAGACATTCTTCCTAAGAAGAACAAATTAACCTGAAAATACAAGTGGTTCCATGGAATGGATGACAATTAATCCAAGCTTTGTTCACTCTTGCAGAAAATATCCTTTCTGGATGTCCCTAATCATCTCCTTAGTGGACATGTTTTAATTTAGCCCTTGGATTTCCTATGTATCCCTTTATGTTTAATCTATAGATACAAAAAATGGGGTTTTGATCTGGTGCCATAATTAGGATTCGACTTCCCATGATTGAAATGGAGTGAGGTTGAGGATAGTGGGGAATCTGTGTTTGTCGCTTTGGATATCCTTTGTTCCCGGTGTTTTCTATTCTACTTTGCATTTTCAACAGTGTACTTTTGCCCCAATACATCTTACAACAGTTATTCCAGTCAAGTTTCTGATTAAGGGCATGTTTGGTGCAGCTCCTAGGAGTTTCAGATTTTGCACACTATTCATGTTTCGTGAATTTAAATTTTCCTCTTAAAAACTTACAATTTTAAATATTTTTTTAACTTCAAAAAACTCTTAAACAGTAAAAGCTCAAAAGTTTCAAATCCAAACTTTTCATAAACTCTCTTTTTACTTATTTTTCACTTACTTATTTTTCACTTACTTTTTCACCTTTCTAAAAGCTAAAGCTCTATTTTCTCTCTAATAACAGTACTCAAAAAGCTAAAACTCCCACCAGCCATACCAAACAGTTCTAAATTTTGTGTAAGACATCTTTCGTTGACAATTTTGCACTTCCTTTTAGGTGTCATTCAGATTCTTCGTGTCACTGGGTGTGCCAACCAAGTGAGTCTGGTGGTCAGGCCTTCAACGCGGAGTGCATGGCACCTCAATCTCATCGTCTTGGACTGTTTTGATTCATTGATTTGAAATTTGCTGTAGGTAGTTTGCAGTTTGGGACTAAGAGAAATGATAGCCGTTGTGACTTTGTATCGTCACGTCGTCATACACTCGTATTATAAAAAAATGTTGTACTTGACACATTGTACATATGGTATTGTCAAATTGAAAATGATTGAGGTAAATCTTTTGATTCTTATCTCCTAATGATAACGGTGTACTTATGTTCATTCACTATGTTATCGAAGTCATTTAATTTAATTTAATTTAATTAATATTTATTATTTAATAAATTAATTTATAAAACAATATTTTTAGACATGATATTAATTATTTAAAAAAATTACAAACAAATAAAATATTAGTTAAATAAATAATTTTAATAAAATAATAGATGGTCAAACTACACCCCTTAATAACCCCTCTCTTTTTTTTTATATATTTTTTATTAAAATATTTTTGAGTCAACTTTGATATAATTTCTGAATAATCACTTTCTAAACAATATTAAGGGTAACATAAAAAAAAAAAAACAATATTAAGGGCATACTTTTGATATGAACTTAGTATAATTAAAAAAATTAATTTTTTTAAATATTAATCTCAAAATTTAAAATTTAAATCTAACTTACAATATAACAATTACTTATTAGTGGATTTCACTTGATAATCTCTTTATCACACACAACAGTAATTTTATTGAACCCTTTTCTCTTAGACACGTGAATTGGATCACAATAAGATTGTGGTTGAAGAAACCAAATGTGATAGGAGTGTCTCGCACTTAGTACAAGAAGGGTTTTAAAAAAGAATAAAAAAAAAAAAACACACACACACACACACACATAGAGTCAGACAATTTTTGTTTATTTATTTATGTCATCAAAAAGCTTTCCAGCCAAAAACAATTGCCATGAAAAAGCTGTAAAATCGAATCTGGCATTTTGGGCCATGGTCCAGAGTAAACCCCTTTCAAACAAGATCAGAGTCCAAGCTTGTTTTTTCCAGTGTTTTTGATTTGGATCTAAACCCAAACCCTTTTTAGGGTATGTTGGGAATTGTCATGAGGTTGTTGCTATAATTGTGATTGTAAATATGATTAAAAGTCATTTTGATATTTAATTATTTATTTTTTAAAAGTATTGTAGATAACATATAATAAATTTTATTAATTAATTAAAATTTTAAAAATATTATATAATGTATAATTATTAAAATCAATAACATTTATTACTCTGTAATAATTTAAGTTTCTTAGGTTTTGTATAATTGGTATTCTTTTGGATTTTGTGGAGAGCAACTCATAACAAAAGAATGAGTTTTTAATTTTTTTTTATAGAATTTTTAAATAAATGAGAGGTTAGGTTTAAATAGTGTTTACACTTAAAATAAACCAATGAGAGAAGGTCATATGTCAAGGTGAAACCCAATTATCATGAAAAGTCAGCAAGCTAGCTTTGAGCTGGGCTGGATTACAATTTAAGGGCCCAGACGAAATTTTAAAGAAGCTGTATATCAGGTGGTAGAGGATAAGATAACTTCTAGTATTTGAGTTTGATTTAAGTTAGGAAGTTGAGAGTTTTTAGGAGGAGGTTATCTCTAGGGTTTTATTGGAGATAATATTGAGTAAAAACTGTCAACTGCCAGACAGTTGTCAGACATGGAACCCCCACTACTCGATCATGGTGGGAGAGGGCTGAGAAACATGGAGGAAGTTTCCCAACACCGAAGAAAAGAAAAACAGGAGGAAGAGATCAGTTACAGAGGGCCGACCCTACACACACACACTACCTAGAGCGTGTTTTTCAACTTTCAGACTACTTTTTCGAGATTTCAGCAATAGTTTCCAGATTAGTTTGCCAAATCTGTTCTGTTCATAGCCTTAGGTTAGCTTTTTTCATCCTTGTTCATATTTCCTTTCAAAGATTTCATTTAGGTTAGTTTTTAAGCATTTGGAAGCAACTCAGCCTTCAAAACAGGTTTGCCCTTTTGATTTGGTTAGTTCCTCTTTCTTTTATGGATTCAGTTATGTCATTTGTTTATGTAATTAGGTTGAATGCTTTTTGCCTTTGTTATTTTGTTTCTGCACAACAGCCAAACATGCAGTTTATTTAATTTAAAATTTCAGATTTAATTTCATAAGTTTCCAGATTTTAATTATTTCATAGATTTTCCTTCAGGTTTAGTTATCAAGTAGTTTAACTATTTTTATTTTAAATTTGCAAGTAATTAAGTTTAATTGTTATGGATTGCGTAGTAGAAGTCATTGTCTGGGATTTTACATTTTCTGTTGTCTGCGAATTTTATTTTTATGGCATGTTGTTTTCTTCTATTGATCTTATGTTAGATTAGTTGCCTTAGGATTCTGTGTTAATTTTAGGATTTGTAGCTTTTATTATACTTTTGTGGTGGTAAAGTCCTTGGAGGTTTCCAAGGCCCATTTTGTAAAACTCCACCTTTTGTTTTGCAACATCGTCTAGGGTGCAATTTATTTCACAAATGTTATTTCCAGCCATCTCATTGGAGGTCGACCGCTGGAAAGGAGAAGGGTCGTCTGGAAAATCTTGTTTTCTTGTTTTTGGACAAAGCAAGTGGTACGCCTAACATCCAAACTCATGTGGTAAAGGCCAGCTGAGGATTTTTGTGGAAACAATCCTTTGTTGGCACGCCCAGTGGGACCACCAGCAAGATGTATCAGTTAAGGTTCACAAATCCTCTGTTCATACATTCAGAGGCATTTAGAGCCATGCCACCGAGAAAGAGCAAAGATAAAGAGGTTCAACCAGCCCAGGTTGAACATGCAAATGACAATCTAGTCTACTTGGAGGGTGAGAATGATCCAGTTGTCCCTCCTTTCTTATCATCCTTCGTGGAGTGATCTTATGGCAATCCAATTTTCAAAGAAAAATATGCAGACCGCAGAGATGACTTTGCTGAATCAAGTAATGTAAGTAGAGGTATGACTGAACATTTGGAGTTAGCATGCAGAAAATAGAACCAGGCTATACAGAAACTTGTTGAGAGTCAAGCAGAATCTTCTAGACGTCAAGAAAAGACAATTAGACAATATATGGTTGAATTGAGATGGATTTTTGAAAAAGGCACTAAGATCATCCGTGAAATTGGAGATAAGAGTCGCAAAACACTACAGGTTGTTTCAGAACAAGTAGTTGAGCAAGTGCGACAGCCCAAACCTAAGGTCCCTCCTCTAGTTGTTGAAATGCTTAGATAGATGTAGGAAGCCCCAATCCCAACACTCGAGGGGCAAGGAAATCATCCTCATCCCAATGTTCAACAGCAAAATTTCTTCATTGGTGGAAGGCAAAGACAACACAAACTAATGGAGGCTGCTACTCCTGTTGCAGACCATAGCCATCAACCTCAGCATAGGTATATTTCACCAGCTAAGAAGGGAAATGTGGGTTCTCATCATCAACCCCATCCAAGGGACTTTTTCCAACCATAAGTTCCACCAGCCCAACCAGTACAACGCGGTCTGCAAAATCAACCAACTCAACTATTCAATAGAGATCAACTAATAGATCTGGTATAAGAGACTAATGGACTAGCCTTGAGGCCATTGGAAAAAATTAATAAGGGCATCTTGAAATTTCCAGATAAAGCGAAGGAAACCATGAGAGTAGATGCATATCCTTTTCTAACTGTATTTGTTGGCGTGAATGTTGCAGACCTGAGGAGTGTTGCTAGAAATCGTAGTCTGCCTTATGCTCAAAGGAACCTTGCTGTTGACGATTTAAGGTGGGTTATTAAGGCGCAAAGATCCAAACATAGCAGGAGCGTCAGGTCAGACCGACAGAGGTTCAGAAGGCAAGGAAGGATCATTGTGACCAGGAACTTTAGCTTAAAAGGTGTTGGACATCACTCAACTGGTACTAGATCTCCAAGAATGGTCAAACCACCACTCAGGTCGCCTTTCAGACCATAGGAGAAAGTCAATCATCTGAAGTTTCTAGCCTAGAATCCCAGAACCTTGAGGCGTAGACCACAGCGCAAGAGAGTTGAAGAGCAGAAAAGGCAACAGAAGTAGGTGGAAGCTGAGAGAAGTTCATCTCGCAGACCACGCCAACCTACCAAAAGGAATATGGTGTGGGTGAGAAAAGAGAAAAATGAGACTGTAACCCAGACTTTACTGGAGAAAGATGACCAATCTCTAGCTTTTCCAAAGGTGGCATCTGTCATTGTGAATCCAGACGAAGTCTCGAAAACAACTTTTGAAGCACAAGAACAGTTTGGGAATCTTGGAGGTGAATCAAAAGAAGATGGCACTATTCATTTTAGGGAATTCTCAGTGAATTTGTCATGTCTGGTGTTGACATTACCCTTGGTTTTCCAGGCCAAGAAGGAGGAGGAACCAATCGTCTATGAGTTCCCAGAGCAGACAGAAGAAGAGGCAATCATTGTTCCAGCCTAGGATGATGAAGAAAAGGACATGGTTGACAAAATATTGTTTGAAAAACCAGAAGGAAAGATGGCTAGACACATTAAGCCACTTTATATCAATGCTCACATGGATGGGACTCCAATCAATCGTGTCTTGGTGGATAATGGAGCTATAGTTAATGTCCTTCCAACTTGCATGTTTTTTAAAATACGCAAGTCTCTTGATGATTTAGTGCATACCGATGTTACAATTAGTGATTTCACAGGAGGGGTGAATCGTTCAAGAGGTGTGCTACCTGTTGAATTAATAGTAGGAAATAGGACACTGATGTCTGTTTTTTTTGTGGTGGATACTGTTGCTATTTACAATGCACTTTTGGGGTGTGACTGGATTCATTCAAGTTGGTGTGTCCCTTCTACACTTCACCAGAAGCTGATTTTCTAGAATGGTGGCAAGGCTGAGGTTGTGTCTGCAGATGATAAGCCTTTTTCAGCCAATACCCACCTAGTAGAGGCTAGGTATTATGAAGAAGACATTGGTACCATTCGATTTTTTGGAATGGATAGACATGGGAAGCCAATTGGGGTAACAGCATGCAGTAGACCGTCATTGTCTAAGCATGTCGTAGAGGAAGCCTGTGATGAACTTTTTCGGCCAACAACAATAATTCCTTATAGGTCGAAGGGGAAACTAAGAATTGAAAAAATTTAATGAAGCAAGCTCATCTGAAAAAAGAAAGAGAAAAAGCCGTGTTGCAGATAACAAAGAAATTAGCGACTTATTTTGTTGAAAAAGAAGTTCAAGTGGACAGGTCTAAAATTGTTCATGAAGGAGAGGAGGCAGACCAGGGTGATGAAATAACTTTGGAGGAGCCAGATCTTGCCCCAGCCAAGTTGGATGATCTAAAAGCTGAAGTTCAAGACTCACTGGAAGAGATCAATCTTGGGTTTGAAAGTGAGTCAAAGGTAACATTTATCAGCGGCTCTCTTGAGCCGCAAGCATGGAATCACATTGTCAGACTTTTGCATGAATTTAAAGACTGTTTTGCTTGGGATTACTCAAAAATACCAGGTCTAGATTGAAAACTGGTGGAACATAAACTGCCAATTGTAGAAGGATTCAGACCATATAAACAGCCACCTAGATGCATGTTTGCAGAGGTCACCTTGAAGGTGAAAGAAGAAATTGAGCAACTGGTAAAAGCTAGATTCATTCGGACATGCAGAGGTCACCTATGTTTGAATGATTGTCAAACATAGTGCCGGTGCTAAAAAAGAATGGAAAATTAAGAGTCTGTATTGATTTTCGAAACTTGAACTTAGCCACACCAAAGGATGATTATCCAATGCCAATTTCAGACTTGTTGATTGATGGAGTAGCTCGTCACAAAATTTTATCTTTCATGGATGGCCATAGTGGGAACAACCAAATTTTTATTACAGACGCAGACATTCCAAAAACAACCTTTCGATGCCTAGGTGTTGTTGGAACTTTTGAATGGGTTGTGATACAATTTGGTCTGAAGAATGCTAGAGGTACCGATCAAAGAGCCATGAATGTAATTTTTCATGATATGGTTGGTAAGTTCATGGAAATCTACATTGATGATGTTGTGGTCAAGTCACATGGGGAAGAAGACCACCTAGTCCATTTGAAAAAGGCTTTTGAGCAGATGAGGCAACATGGCTTGAAAATGAACTCACTAAAGTATGCCTTTGGAGTGTTTGCAAGTAACTTCCTTGGGTACTTGGTGCATGAGCGTGGTCTGGAGGTTGATAGGAACAAAGCTAGGGTTGTGATTGAGGCAAAACCACCACAGAATAAGAAGGAGTTGCAGACATATCTTGGCCAAGTTAATTTCTTAAGACGTTTCATTTCTAACTTCGTTGGGAAAACCAGAGTCTTTTCTCCTCTGTTGAAACTCAAATCTGAGGTGAATTTTAAGTGGAAAAAACACAACCAATCTGCCTTTGATATGATAAAGTGGTACTTATCTAGACCACCAGTACTTGTATCGCCTGTGAAAAATAAACCTTTAATTTTGTATATATCCGTCGCAGACGAGTCCATAGGATGTCTGCTGGTGCAGGAAAATGATAAACAACAGGAGTAGGTTGTGAATTACTTGAGTTGATGTTTGACCAAGACTGAAGTGAATTATTCTTCGGTCGAAAAGTTGTGTCTTGCTCTTTTTTTTGCTGCAATAAAATTAAGACATTATTCGATTTATTCCAAAGTCTATGTGGTTGCTAAGACTGATATTGTTAAATATATGTTGTCTTGCCCTTTGTTAAGAGGGCAAATAGGTAAATCGATTCTGACCTTGTCTAAATTTAATCTAAAATACATACCACAGAAGGCTCTCAAAGGGTAAGCATTGGTAGACTTTCTTGCAGATCATCCATGTCTGGAAGTGGAAGCAAATGAAGAGAAGGGGATTAACTTGTTTTCAATAAGTTTAGTTCCTTGGAAACTTATTTTTGATGGATCTAGTACAGAAACCATGTCTGGAGCTGGAGTCGTGGTTATCTCCCCGTTTGGGCTAAAAACACAAATGTCTTTCCAGCTGGGTTTCAATTGCACAAATACTCAAGCGGAATATGAAGCTTTGATTATTGGTCTTGAGATGTTGGTGGAGCTTAAAGTATCCATGGTTGAGGTTATAGGAGACTCACAACTAGTCTTGAACCAATTGTCTGGTGAGTACAAATGTACTAACCTTGCTTTGACCCCTTATTTTGCCTTGGCTGTGTAATTACTGGAGAAATTTGATGATGTATCTATCAGACATGTGCCTAGAGACCAGAATTACGAAGCTAATGAAATGACCCAAATTGCTTCAGGTCTGCAGATTCCTGAAGGTGTAATGCAGAAATTTGTAATAGTTGAAAAGCGTAGTCTGCCATCAATTCATCAACGTGGCATGACAATTTCTACTTGCAGCATTGATATCACCCAGACAGATTGGCGCTTTTTAATTATTTAGTACCTTAAAGATCATGGTGCTAAGGTATCTAGGAAAACCAAAATGCAAGCTCTCAATTATGTCTTGATTGAGGATGTGCTTTACAGGAAAGGCCATGATGAACTACGGCTGCGTTGTCTGGGTCTAGATGAAAGTTTCTAGATGTTGTCTGATGTCCATGATGGGATTTGTGGTGCACACCAGGTTGGGATCAAGATGCGTTGGCTGATTTGCAGACATGGTTTCTTCTGGCCATTTGTCTTAAAAGATTTTATTGCTTATGCTAAAGGCTGCAAATCTTGTCAGATCCATGGGCCACTTCAAAGAGTTCCGGCCTTTGAACTCAATTCTATTGTGAAACGGTGGCCATTTCGAGGTTGGGCTATCGACTTGATTGGTAAGGTGTGCCCTCCTTCGTCAAAAGGTTATTCATTTATTATAGTGGCAACGGATTATTTTACTAAATGGGTGGAGGCTAAACCAATGAAGAAGGTAGATCAATCTGATGTAATCAAGTTCATCAAAGAGGACATTATCCACAGGTTTGGTCTACCAGAACAATTACAATAGATCAAGGCACAGTTTTTTTCAGCCATCAAGTGGAAGCATTTGCAAAGGAAATGGGTTTCCATCTGCTAAATTCTACTCCACATTATGCACAAGCTAATGGACAAGTTGAGGCTTCTAACAAGGTGGTGATTAATTTGCTTGAAAAAATGGTGGATGACAACCCTAGACGCTGGCATGAACTGTTGTCTGAGACACTGTGGGCTTACAAAACTTCACAAAAGAGTTCAACCAAAATGACACCTTTTGCCTTGACATATGGCCACGATGCAGTCTTGTCAATGAAGTTAACAGCCAGGTCTTTAAGAATAGCGATTCAGCATAATCTGCAGTCTGGGGAATATGATCAAGCCATGATGCTTGAGCTTGAAGACCTTGAAGACACACGTTTGACAGCTTTGGATAGATTGCAAGCTCAAAAGCTCAAAATTACAAAGTCTTACAACAAGAGAGTGAAAGCTAAAAATCTGGCAGTTGGTGACTTAGTCTAGAAAGCAATTTTACCTCTTGGCAAGAAAGATCACAGATTTGGGAAGTGGTCCCCAAATTGGGGAGGACCATTCCGAATTTATGAAGTGTTGAGAAGGGGTGCTTGTTGTTTGGAGTCACTTGATGGGGAGCTTCATCCTAGAAAAATCAATGGAATTTATCTCAAGCCTTATTACCCCACAGTCTAGGAGGCATGAGGAATCGAGTCCTAATAAGCTGTCTGAGCCAGGTTCACACTTCTTTTTGTGCATAATTAAATTGGGTTTCTTTCATTTATTTCATTTTGAATGAGAGCAAGTTTGATCAAGCGGCCATGACTAGCTGTGGATGGCTGGATGTGCTCAGACAGAGTTAGCTATGAAAAAGTTGGGAATACTTGCTACAATCATCTTGGGATTTAGCAGATTCTACACGTGGCCTTTGGAGTTTGAAATCTGAAAGGTAATTTAAAATTTAAACACTTGGATTTATTCCCATAAAACCAAGTGTTGGGGGGCATTGTTTACACCTAAAATAAACCAATGAGAGAAGGCCATGCATCAAGGTGAAGCCCAATTATCATGAAAAGTCAACAAGCTGGATTTAGGCTGGGCTGGATTACAATTTAAGGGCCCAAACGAAATTTTAAAGAAGCTGGATTTCAGGTGGTAGAGGATAAGATAACTTCTAGTATTTGAGTTTGATTTAAGTTAGGAAGTTAAGAGTTTTTAGGATGAGGTTATCTTTAGGGTTTTATTGGAGATAAGATTGAGTAACAACTATCAATTGCCAGACAACTGTCAGACATGGAACCCCCACTACTCGATCATGGTGGGAAAGGGCCGAGAAACATGCAGAAGGTTTCCTAGCACCGAAGAAAAGAAAAACATGAGGAAGAGATCAATTACAGATGGTCGACCCTACAAACACGCTACCCAGAGCATGTTTTTCAACTTTCAGACTACTTTTTCCAGATTTCAGCAATAGTTTCCAGATTAGTTTGCCAGATCTGTTCTTGTTCATAGCCTTAGGCTAGCTTGTTTCATCCTTGTTCATATTTCCTTTCAAAGATTTCATTTAGGTTAGCTTTTAAGCATTTGGAAACAACTTAGCCTTCAAAACGGGTCTGCCCTTTTGATTTGGTTAGTTCCTCTTTCTTTTATGGATTCAACTATGTCATTTGTTTATGTAATTAGGTTGAATGCTTTCTGCCTTTGTTATTTTGTTTCTGCACAACAGCCAGACATGCAGTTTATTTAATTTAAATTTTCAGATCTAATTTCATATGTTTCCAAACTTTAATTATTTCATAGATTTTCTTTCAGGTTTAGTTATCAAGTAGTTTAACTATTTTTATTTTAAATCTGCAAGTAATTAAGTTTAATTGTTATGGATTGCGTAGTAGAAGTCATTGTTTGGGATTTTACATTTTCTGTTGTCTGCGAATTTTATTTTTATGGCATGTTGTTTTCTTCTATTGATCTTATGTTAGATTAGTTGCCTTAGGATTCTGTGTTAATTTTAGGATTTGTAACTTTTATTATACTTTTGTGGTGGTAAAGTCCTTGACGGTTTCTAAGGCAATTAGTAACCCATATTGCAGAACTCCACCCTTTGTTTTGCAACATCGTCTGGGGTGTAATTTATTTCACAGACGTTCTTTCCAACCATCCCATTGAAGGTCGACTGCTAGAAAGGAGAAGGGTTGTCTGAAAAATCCTGTTTTCTTGTTTTTAGACAAAGCAAGTAACAAGCTTAACATCCAAACTCATGTGGTAAAGGCCGACTGAGGATTTTTGGGGAAACAAATAGTGTTATAAATTATAATGCAATTGAATTAAATAATGTTAGATTTTAACATATAATTTTATAATTATATTAAATATTAAGTATTATTTGTAAAAGTGAAGTTAAACAATTATTATAAATTTGCTGTAACTTTTTATACTTTTGAAAAAAATAGTTT